GGCCGCTTTTGCAGAAAAACTTGCCAGCTGTTTACACTGGCCGCTTTGAATTTGCGCAAGAACACTGATGATCTAATGTAAGATTGTCAGTGTTCTTCTGCAAATACAATGACTCCCGTTCGGGAAAAAGCCCTTTAGCGCAAATGCTTTTGAGCAAGAGGGCCAGTGTAGACAACTGAGAACCGTTTTGCGCAAAAAAGCCGCAATGGCAAAAATGGCGATTGGGGCTTTCTTGCACAAAACCACGTCTAGCTTGGCACGGACGCTTTTCCGCAAAAAGTGCTTTTGCGCAAAAGCATCCATACCAATCTAGACGCTCTTTTCCACAAATGCTTTTAACAGAAAAACTTTTCCGTTAAAAGCATTTGCGGAAAATCATGCCAGTCTAGACGTAGTCTATGAGAACTAGCTAGGCAGTGGTACCCATGAGTAGGTAGAAGGATCAGTGTTGACCTTGAAGGGGGCTGGCTGCACTATGAAAATTTATGAGAAATGAAACACCAAATGGTTAAAATCCTGACCCTGTAACATGCCCGATGTCTTCAACAATTGCTGAACCCTTGTAGCATCATCTGTAAGTCATGGCCAAAATCACACAGAAGTCTATGGCAGAATCAAGAATAGAACTCAGGCCTCCCTCCTGTCTCCCTGTCCCATGCTTTTAACTACAAAGTAATCATCCCTCATTACAGATGAGAACACTGCTGAATCCTCAACAATGGAACATCACATGGTAACTTCTTGTTGTCCTCCAATCTATCGCCCCCTGCTGAATGCCTCCCAGGGGAAGAGTTGTTAAACTTCTGCAATACTGTACTTTTAATGGGTTTTATCAAATAAATTAAAGGCTTTATAGCTTTTATGCTGTGCACTGGATTCTGAGAACTTCTGTCATCAGTGCAATAAATCACTCAACAGTAATGGGCTGCAGTGAAGAAAGTAGCATATAAGATGAAGAAGACTGTCGGATTTGCTCCCAATGGAAAGGATAAGAAATCATTTTGACTTTGAAATACCTACCAATCCTAACTGTACATTCCAGTGAAGATGAACATTTCTGGGAATCTTTTTAAAAATCCCATAATGCCTGAAGCAAAATACAAAAACCGCCCAAGGTTTCTGAAGTAGTGTTATTGCAAGTGACCATTACAAGTGATATTCTTATCTTAAGAACATAATGGGTGCTGCTGGTGCAATTGCCCATTGGGGTAAATGGGAAATGGACACTAATCCCCGGGCATAGAATAATCCCCTTTGGGTATGATTGAAGTTGCTCATTTTTTTAAGATAACCAAATACACCATGTTTATGAGCTTCTTTTAGAGATTACTTAAAACCATATCCATGAAGACAAATTTTAGGAGTTCTGTCAGGCCCTTCATTAAAATCCCTATTTTGGGGGGCTTATCACTGCTCATAAATACTAATTCCAGGCTGAAACCTATGATCTCAGATATTACCGCATCTGCCTTGTCTATCTCATCTTGTGGGACAAACAAATGTTACAGCTATGCTGCAAACAACAATAGAAGCTTTTAAAAAAATAAATTTAAAAATAGTTTTATCAGAGTTAATGTTCAGCACAAAAGAAGTTGAGAGAAAGAAAGATCCTTTAGCAGCTGCTTGAGTCTTTTCAAACCATTGGTTCAGGTTTTAGCAAAAGTTTTGGTAGATTTTCATTTTATCCCAGTTGTCTCTCCAAAGTCCTTTAAAGTCAGTCCAAGTCTTTTCACTGACTCCCATGGGATTTAAATCTAGCCTAGTTCTAATTTTAATTTTCTGGTCCTAAAGCCTGAGGTACTATCTTGATCCAATTGGTATTTTTATATTGTTTTTAATGGGAGCAGGTAAAGTATAATAAAAACATATGACCAACTCCTGGCCTTCCCCTCCACTCCCCATCTTTACATGGAAATAATAGGCAGCTAGATGTATTCAAAAGATCAAACTGAATTGCCTAATTCTGAAACACTAACCCAGGAACCAATCCCTGCAACAAACCCCATTGCCAACTCTGTCCACACATCTGCCCTAGTGACACCATCATAGGACCCAACCACATCAGCTAAACCATCAAAGGTTTGTTCACATCTACTATGTGATAAATGCCATCACTGTCCCTCTGCCATGCACATTGGATAAACTGGACTCTACACAACAGAATAAATGGCCACAAATCAGACATCAAGAATGGTAACTTACAAAAACCGGGGGGAGAACATTTTAACCTCCTTGGACATACAATTGAAGATTGATATTCTCAAAACAAACACTTCAAAAACAAACTGCAATGTGAAACTGCTGAGCTGGAATTCATATGCAAATTTGACACCACCAGAATGTGTCTGAATAGGAACTGGGAATGGCTCCCTCATTTCAAGAAGTAATTTTCTACTTCAAGTATTTCCCGCACCCCCTTTTTATCTACATCCACCCTGATTGAATTAGCTCTGATGTAACACTCCAATCTCTGTCTCCCTACTGTCTGTTTCTTTTTCTTTCACTTCATGCATCTGATGAGGTGAGTAGCAATGCACGAAAGCTTATGCCACAATAACATTGTTAGTCCTTAAGATGCCACTGGACTCGTTGTTTTTGCTGAAACAGACTAACATGGCTACCCCTCTAAGTTCTATTGTTAGTTGACCTAGCACATCTGAGATCTATTGTTAGTTGACCTAGCATATCTGTAAACAGATATGCTATAGCATATCTATTATCAGATATCTATATCAGATATCTATAGCATATCTGTAAACAGATATGCTAGGGCTTCATCTTTAAATATGAATGCCTTTGCTGTTGTAGGGGGATGGTTAGCCTTAACCACAGAAGATGATAGCATAAGGCTTCTCATGTTTCTTCTTCTTCTTCTTCTTTTTTTTTTTTTTTTTTAAGATACAATAGGGCAAATACATCCATGCTCTAGGCCCAGTGGCACCAGTGAGATTAAGTTTTGGCTACTATGTTTCAAGAACGTAATGATGCAACAGAATGTCTCCAGAAGTGGTTAGGATTTTAGTTGCACTGGCATATTTCAATCTCTTGTACATGGCAGACGGGGGAGGAGGGGGGCAGACTAAATCTATTGCAGTCATTCAATTATTCTATCCTTGATGGTTGAATTACCGGAGCTTTTGGCTATATTTCCATCCCATAGTCACTAATACACTGATGGCCTTTTGACTAGTAAGTGGATAGTAGCCTTTTCTTTTCAAGGTGGCAAAAATATATATATGTGGGAGGCTCTGACAATCTGTTATCCAGGTAAAGGACAGGTATTACTTGGGTTAAAGAATAGTCGATTTCTGGCATGCTGTGTTCTGCAAGCATGTCTGAGGTGTATTGGGTGTTTGAATTTGCTGTGCTGTAGGGAATATTATTGTTTATTGATGGAATGTTGGTCAAAACGTATTGGGAGGGAGCAGCATATGTGTGTTTTTTGCCCAAGGATTCAAAATAATTCTACACTTACAATGCTCAGTTTACAAGTAAAAATAATGTTTTTCTAACTGAGAACAGCACACCCTTAAAGGCTACTGAACTTGTCTGGAAGTAACACTGTGGGCATAATCTAAAAACAATGGGATTGTGTAAGTGAAGCTAAGAGCATTTATTGATGCATTCTCATTCATTTATACTTCACACAGTCCCATTGGCATAATAAACATGGTACATAATAATGACTAACATAATTTGTCCTGCAGACCCTTTTTTATTGGTGATGAAATGATAGATGACAAGAACCCAGCCAGACTGACTCCAGGCTGAGTTTGTGGGTCTAGTGCTTAGAACAATCACTATGAAATGTAATTGAGCTGCTCCTCCATTGCCCTGCATCTGCCTTGTCATTTACACATGTGTAAAGTGGATACAAAATGCCACCAAATCAGAATCTTAGAGGGAAATCCTGGCACCACTGAAGTCAGTGGCAAAACTCCCATTGACTTCAACAGAACCAGGATTGCACCCTTAGGCTACGTCTACACAGCTTCCCTCTTCCGCAAAAGCCTATGGAATGAAGCGCAGATTAGCATAGTGCCACAATTCATTTGCATAATTAATTAGGAGCCGTTTTTGTGCAAAAAGTCACCGTCTATACAGTGCCTTTTTGCGCAAAAAACTCTCTTGAGCAAGAGCCGTTCTTCCTCATTTTTTCAGGAAGAACGGCTCTTGCGCAAGAGGGGGTTTTGTGCAAAAATGGCTCCTAATTAATTATGCAAATGAAGTGTGGCAATATGCTAATCTGCGCTTCATTTCCATAGGCTTCTGCGGAAGAGGTTAGCTGTGTAGACATAACTTTAATATCTTGCAGCCATCTATGTGGCCAAGTATATGGTGAGTCAGACTAGGGAACCCCGCAATGCTGTTTTTTTCAATCTGTTTTTTAACTCAGAACCACACTCTTAAGTAAACAATTCCTTCTTGTATCTTCTTCTCATGGGCTACTCCAGTGGAGGCTGGGAGCAGTGGTCCCTATAAGCTGAGCACTTAGGCAGTCACCCAGAGAGATTCAGATGCTGCCCAGCTGATTAGGAGAGTGCCCACAGATGATAGCGTGTGTTTCTACTGGTGGTGCACATCCACACATGCAGCGGTGCACATTACAACATTTATTCAGCACATGGATGGAAAAAATTAGAGGGAACATCGACTGGGATAAAATTCTCTCTCTCTCTCTCTCTCTCTCTCTCTCTCTTTTTCTTTAGGAGACAGAAACCATGATTTCTATTGGGGCTTCCCCTAGACAGTATTAGCTAGATAGTTTTTGAATGTAGTGTAGTATTAAATTGCAGGAAGGGAGAATTAGACATTAGGAAAAACTTCCTGATTGTCGGGGTGATTAAGCTCTGGCATAAATTGCCTAGGGAGGCTGTGGAATCTCCATCACTGGAGATATTTAAGAGCAGGTTAGACAGACTAGACTTGATGACCACTCAAAGTTCCTTTCGGTTCTAGTATTCTATGATTACAGCTTTTACAATTTTTTCTTTAAACAGAAGGCACTGAGGCATAGTCAGAGCCAATGTCAAATGGACACTCCTTCTGATGACAGTTCTCAGAAAATCAAATGAATCATCCATTTGGGAAGGGAGTTCACTACCTGCCTGATACTGGTAAAGATTCTGTTTAGTGTTCTTTCAGTCTACCTGAATATTGTCAAATGATTCATCATTTTAAGTTCTTATTAGATTCATCAGTACTCCTGGCCTCTCAAGTTGCATCCTGGTCCAGAAAATCTTTTGTTTCATCTGCAGCTAGCCAAAAGATAACACCCTTTTTTCTCAGATGTCAAGTGAACACTGTTATCCACCTTGAGGCATGACTGTTGCTATGCTTTGTACCTAGCAAGAACCTTGATGGTCATAAGACACTTTAACTAATGCAGAATCAGAATAAAGCTTTCAGGTAGAGGGAAACCTGCTGTGCTGTTTCCCTTGTGCTGGCTGTAAGTCCACCTCTGAATGATATTTAAGGTATCACTCAGTTTACCAAAGGCTCAGAATGGGTTACAAATAGAACTGAATGAACTGTGTTGCTTCTTTTTCAGTGAAAAATGAAGATTCTGCAAGATTGTGTGAATTTGTATCAGTTTTAGCATATTGATCATTTCAGGGCGAAAAACCCAACTAAGTCGAAAAGAAAAAAATGTGTTTTGAAAATGTCAAAACAAACACTTCAGTTTTTCCATTTGAAATGAGTCTGTGTGTCAAAGATTCCTTTAGTTTTATTTCAAGAATTCAAAAGCATTTAAAATGGTCAAAATCAAAACACTTCCACTTGGTCAAAATGACACATTTCATTTGACCAGAAACATTTTTTTTCTGGATTCTCAAAACCTTTATTACTTGCCTTGCTGTTATTATAGAATGGATCAGCTGAGCCCTGCTCTTCCCTACCCATAGGAAGGCGAGCTCACAGGCAAATTGAAGGACACATGAGCTCCCTTGGCTATACCTCAGTATTAGCAATGCACGGACTTATGATGCTGATGAGACCTCAGGTCTGTAAAGTTTCTTTTCACATTTGTTTTCTCAGTCCAATTGAGATTGCTAGTTGGGTAAGCAATTGAGATTGCTAGTTGCTTTTTCTTTATAGTCTTCTGAGATCTTTGGATCTGCCAGCCATACTAATCCACATCTGTCTGCACCTTTGCTTATTAAATATTATCTTCCCCTATGCCTTGCCTGCTCTTTCTAGGGAGCATTTTACTGATGTACCACTGCCTGTTTACCCCAGGAGAGAGGGATTACCAGAATCCTGGAGCTCTCAGCAAAAGTTACTAGCATGAGATATTTTGTAGTAATTCTGTCACCAGTAACATCCAGATACTGTCTTTTCTCCATGTTAAACTCACCAATATATTATTTCATTTTCATTTGAAACCCCACCTTAAAAAAATCCCATAACACTTTGTATAGCAATAGCCATGGTTTTATGGCTGCAATAAGTTTCTAGATATTTTGGGGGCAGAGCTTGCAGTGTTTCTATACAGCACTTCATTATTTTTTTTAAACACAGTCATTGCCATTCCAGGTGTTGATATGGAGGAATTTGTTATGGGAAGATAAGCTGCACATGCCATTCGCTGTTGGAAAATGTAAAGTAATGAGGTAAGGTACATTTACGGTTTAACAGCAGCATGGCGTAGAATACAGAGCAAGGATGAACCTGAGGGGACTGCGAATAACCCACTTTATCTTTCTGTGAAATATTTAGCAGCGGTGTATAGGCAATGTCTTCTGTGGAAGCTATTTTGATATAAAACGAGCTTACAGCGAGACTGCATTTTAAATGGAGTGAAGTGTAATGTGTGGTTTTAGATCACGATAGAATGCTACAAAAAACGTGGCACATCTTTTTTATTATTTCTATTGTGGCAGCCTTTAGAACCCCATCAGGGATTCTGGGCCTTATTGTACTAGCCATCACAAAAACAACTAACACAAAGCCCGTCCCTGCCTCAGAGCTCACAATCTCGGAGCTTAGACAGTACCCAACGGATGAATTAAACTCACAACCCAGGAAGGGGAAGGAGGACCCGTAATAGTAGAACAAAGAGTGATGACAACAGTGAGGGGACAGGGCAGAGGCTCCTCAGCCTGTCTACTTCTCATGGAATTCTCTAATGGTGGAACATTACGTTGCCAATTAGCAAGTGAATTCAGTGTCCAGGGGATTCCCTGTTGGTCAGCCAGGATGAAATGATTATGGCTCATTTACTTGTCTGTGTCAGGGCTCTGGTGGGCTGTTTGGGGATCTTTCTTCTCCTGCTGTCCAATTGCTAATCTATTCCATATAACACAGATGCTTGCCAGTGCAAACGCTTGACTGGGAAAGACTAGCATGACTTTACTGCTAGCCTTCCCACAAATAGGACTTGCTGGTTCCAATGTATGCAGAATGTGCCCATCAAAGTACAAAGCTAATTCCTTTTTCCGTTCCAATGCCCCTTCCCCGCCCTTGGGAATGTATTTGCTGATATTTGCCCAGCTCTAGTTCAAATATGCAGTAAATTGCCAAGCAGAACAATAGAAGTGAAAGAGAGTAAATCAGACCTAGAGAATGCTGGGCAAAGTAATGGAAAAAGAAGGAACCTGACAGTGCCGCCAATAACTGGGTGTTTGGTATTAAGATGTGAGACACATGGGTTGATTTGATTTAATGCTGAGAAAAGTTAATTAATCGAAACATATGAAAAAAATAAGAATCCCAGGGAGGTAGCAGCAGGAACTGACACATTCCCTTACAGTGAAGGAGAATCATAATAGAAGCAGAGGATTTTAAGAGTCTTGCTATTGAATTGTTTGTCTTTGAGTTTGCAACATGGGAGGGTTGTGTTCCTTGGTCATAAATTTTCTTTTGCAAACTGGACTGAAAAGGAGGGGGGATGGAATCAATTACAAACCATATCAGACATTTAAGTTTGAACACACGACCTTGAATGAAATCTTACTAGCAATATAAACAGGACTGGTGCCAAACTAAGCACCAGAAGTATTCAATAATAAAATACAGCTGTCTCCATTGGCATTTACCCATGAAAGTTTGTCATTTTTACTGTTAGAAATGCTGACAAAGAGAAATATGTCAAATGAAAACATTTTTTTCCAGAGGAGGAGGCTTTCATGAACTGCAGCCTAAATATTCATTTAACATTTGAACATTCCATAAAAATAATTTATAACATAATTTCTTCTTAGAAACTCATTTCAACTGAGCACTTTCCAAAGACCCTGTCTGAGCTTGGCAATGCTTGCAGGTTTGCTTTCAAACCCATAATTCTTAATTATTAAAATACTCAATATACACTTTTCTTGGATTCTAGCAAAGCACATCAAAGCAGGGGGCCCCCTTTGCTTCAGCTTAATGCACACCATGTCAGCTAAGAAGGAAATAGGAGTGACATGGCTCTGAAGCATATAAGGGCTTGGATTTTGCAACCCTCATTTATGCAAGCCTCCCCAAAAATCTGCACAGAGCTGTTTGCATGAGTTAGGGCTATTTGTATCAGGGAGGCTTTGTAGGGCTGAATCCTATGCAGGCACTTACTGTACCTTTTGCTCACAAAATAATACTGTGAAATGGAGAAACCTAGAAATAGACCAGCACTGGTTAACAATGATAGGTCACCCTACCTGCTGACCTTGAGGTAGTTACTTGTACCTTGTGGCAGGCGAATAGAGTCCTTGAGATCCCAGATAGGTGGGTCAGGTTTTCAGTATCCCTCCCATTCCCTAAGCATTAACAGGGAGGGAAAAGAGAGTGACACATATAGGGAACTGTTAACTTCTCTGGGTATGCTCTGTAGCTCTTACACACTGTGCATATGCCTTGCATTAGGAGAATCTTCTGGGTCAGTTTAGCTTATTGAATATTGTGTTATCTGATTGGCTGCTTGTTCAAGTTCTTTATTTCTATGCAGCCTGTCATCTAAATATCCATCTAATTAAAATGCATAGTGCTGAAGGGGTCAGGTAAGTATGACACACCCCACAGTAATAATATCTCTCAACACAAAGGGCCACATCCTGAGGTTTTTAACATCATCCTTTCTAAAGCATAGTGCAATTGATGTCCATGGATCTTTTGTCTGATTAAAGGATTTGGCCTATAGGTTTAGGTTAAAGAATCTCATTGTAGAGAAGTGGAAAATTGCCCCCTCCATCAATCCCTTCACTGGATACCTGTCTCTTACCTCAGCAAATTCAAGCTTCTCTTCCTCACCTATAGGACCCTACATAGCCTTGTCCCCATTTGAAAATTTGCTTCCTTCCCCCCCCCCCCCCCTTCGATTATAATCATCCCTCTTTGCCCACAGAGAGCTTTCTGTCCTTTCAAGAGCCCTCCTCTTCTTTCGTCTCTTCTCCTGTGGTCTTCACCGATGAAGGCACCAGAAGGAGGCATAAATTATGCCACTTGGACTTCCTTAGGCTCAGGTCTGAGTAGATAGTAATCAATTTTACAATCTTACACTGATAATGAGAGGATATAAACTTCCTCTTCAGAAGCCCCGCCTTGATTTCTTAGTACCGAGTCAAAGGTCCATAAACTGAGAGATGCATTGAATTCCTGACTTGAGTGTGTGTACATGTGTGTGTGTGTGTGTGTGTGTGTGTGTGAGTGTGTGAGTGTGTGTGAGAGAGAGACTGTAAAATTTCCTCTTGTTAAAATTATGGTCCCTGTAGTGTTCTACTTGTTAAAATACTGCATAGTCATAAAAATCAGTTTGAAAATTATATGATCAGTCTCAAAGCAACTACCATCAACCGTTCTCCCTGTCAGTCCTTTACAGTTTAAGTACTGATTAAATTCTACAAAGGTGGTCAGAAATGACATTCCAGGTTTGCGAAGCTGGGATTGCTTTGAGCTTGTAGGTAATACATAGTCCAGCAATTATTAATGTTTAACTGGGTGACATTGCAAGTAACGAGAAGACACTGAAACTTTAAAAGAGTAATTTTTTTAAAGGCTAAGAGTGGCTGTTATCTTTTTTTTTTAAATTCTATATTTATTGCAGCTCAGCCCTTAACTCTGGGCTGTGCTATGTAATAATAATGGAACTGTTCAGACAGCAATTTACCAATGTGCTTGAGGCCCTGTCAAACCACATGGAGTAATGCCATAATCAAATTCACAATGTCTTATCTTCTTCAGATAAAGTAATCATCAAAGGAGTGCTGGCATGAACAGAGAAAAGATTCAGGGCGCACAGACATACTCTAATATATTGAGCTGCGACACAAATTGGGCTGTCCTTGTTTGCCTTTCTTCTCTGTCTCTGTTTCCAATTGGTCTGCCAAAGCAATGCTGGTAGTTTGGTTTCACACCATCTATTTAAGACAATAGGTCTTTCAAACAAATACATCTAGAAAGGGTTAAAACTCAGGCTGCAGTGTTTTCTTCCCATTTTCTTCTTATTCCCTTTAACACACTCATGGGCTGACATGATAAAGAGTAAATCCACAGACTAGAGATTTTCTGTTAAATCAATAAAATATTGTTTTAAAACTGAGTTAAGTGCATTATCTGTCCATTACTACATTGTGGTTTGCCCTCAGTCATGGAACTGAGACAAAGGTTCCCACAAGGCAAATCACATTTGTAGTTTAACCTAATTTAGATTTTCCATATAGGGGAGCTATTTCAGGGCCTCTCTTCTACAGGGTACATAAGCACATGCCTAACTTTAAGCATATGAGTAATCCCATTAATGTCAATGGGACACATACACAGGTAGAGATAAGCTTAACAACCATATTCGGCTGATTCCTAATTACTCAGTATCAGCAAAGTAAGAAGAAAAGACAACCACTATCTGATGTTAATGCCTATTTAAAGAGCAATCATTTCAAATGTTTAATGCATTACAAAGGCAATTTTCCTTCCCTTTGACATTTGCATTTTCACGTCAAAAGCTATGAATGGGACACATCCAGCCTACTTAATTAGCTTCATTATTGTGGGTACTACAATTGACAGATAACTGCTTTTGCTGTTATGTATATCTTGGATTGTGTTATTTCCACTCCAAGTCATCTGGATGAAGTGGGTTTTACCCATGAATGCTCATGATCCTATATATTTGTTAGTCTCTAAGGTGCCACAGGACTACTCGTTGTTTAAAAGGAAAGAAGAGAGAATCAGATTTTCCATCAAACTGTAGAACTTTAGTACTGGAAAGGGACCTCAAAGTCACCAAACTCAGCCCAAGCATTGTGGCAGGACCAACTAGATCATCCCTGACAGGGAGTTGTGCAACTCGTTTTTAAAAATCACCAATGTTGGTGATTCCACAACTTCCGTTGGAGTTAGAAAAGTTTTCCTAGTATTTCACCTAAATCCCTCTTGCCAATTAAGCTCATTACTTCTCCATGCCCACTGAAGGTTGGAAGATAATTGTTCTAGGATATTAGTATATTAGCAGATACATTATATTGTAGAAGGATATTTCATTCATGATTTTTTATAACCCCCAGATCTTTTTCAGCAGTACTACCACTGAGGCAGTTATTGCCCTTTTTGCCAATGTGTATTTGATTTTTTTTTCCTTGAGTGAAGTAATTTGCATTTGTCCTTATTGAATTTCATTTTGCTGAATTCAGACCAACTC